GAACTCATTGATGCGCACAACCTCTTTAATCTAGAAATAAAAGGTAAATAATGCATAGACTTCACAGCAACATTCTTCCCGCTGGAAACCCTCTTAAAACGAGGGTTTTCACAAAATTTATACTTTCTAAATATGCATCATCCTTATAATACAACATACAATCATCTTCACAATAATCGATTCTCATAGACGAGAATCCTAACTTAGAAACCAATCTTTTAGCCTTATAAAAATCTCGGGTATGTTAAAAGTTGGGTCAACTAGTTCACTCATAAGGCCAATGAAAGAATCCATTCCCGCTTGAGAAATATTGGTATCTGATTTGATACTTAATAATCTAACCGCAACAAACAACGGTGAGTGCATACTCCCTTCCCTTAGTGGACGACTAGCGACCTCTAACTGTTCATAAAAATATTTTGCCTCTTCATTAGGAGGTTGTTCAACACTTTCATGGGTTTCAAAATCGAAGTGTATCCCAAAAACATCTGCAACCATTGCATGGTATCTAGGATGTTGAACGCTATTCTCCACCGACCTACTATTTTCACCAACAACTATGTTATGAAATACACTATCAGTACTACCAACCTCTCCATGACTAGTCCACACAAAATAATTATTCATAAACCCATTTCTATAAAGATGAGTCGTAACATCCTCCGAACCCAAAAATGGCAAACACTTCCACTTCGTGCAAGTACACCTAATCATCCTTCCAATCCGAAACGGTTCAAGTGACATTGCATGCCTAATAAATTCCTTAACCCCTTCTATACATTCCTCCCTGAAAAACCGACGATTAGGATAATTCCGATTATACATCCAATTACGATATTCCATCTACATAAAGAACAAATAAATTACATGTTATATTAATCATAATTCAAATTAATTTATAGAATTAAGTTACATAATAAACTTTAGTTACAAAGTACAACATTTACTTACTAGAATATTGAATTAGTTAAGCCATTCAATTAGACTAACTCATTCAATTTATAATTTGTTAGCACACTCAATTAATCTAGCATAATTAGTTAAGCCTAATTTTCTAAAAGCAATAAACACTAATAGAACAATATTATCCCCTAAATTAATAAACCCTAAATTTCTAAAAGCAATAAAGACTAATATAATAATAAATTAAATCCTAAAATAATAAATTATTTATAAAAGCAATAAAAAAAAAATAAGAGCATCCAACTTCATAAATTAAGAGCACTAAACCCTAAATAATATAATTTATACACCACAAATTAACTAGTTTAAATAATTTATACATCTCTATTAGTGCATAATCAATTTTAGTTACAATGTAGTTCACTTTAAATACAATGCAGTTCAAAAACTGCCAAATTTCGTCACATAAATCCAAAATAGACAATAACCCTAAACATATTGCATAAAATTATATTTAGGTATGCAATAAATTAAAAATTAAAAGGCTAATAAGGTAGAACACTAACCTTGAAAGAGAATGGTAGTGGCGGCGGCGGCAGGCGGAGGAGGTGGGGTTTCGATTTTGGAGGTGGGGGACTTGATTTTGGGTGGGATTTGGTAAAAAGGTGTGAGAAAGAGAGATGGAAGAGAAAGAAAAGAGAGGGAAAAGATGAAAATAGGGAAGAAAACTCGTCTGTTAGATCTAATTAGGATATTACCGACCGACTTCGGTCAGAAATGTCGGTCGGTAATAATAAAATATGTTTTGACTATTTGACCTCAAAATTTTCAACCAAATTCCGTCAGAAACTTTAATAAAAAATTTCCCGTTTTTAAATTATTATAAATATACCGACCGATTTCGGTCAGTTTTAGTGGTCAAAAATTAAATTATTGTTNATATATATATAGATTGTAAATAACAATAATTTATAAGTGGTTGATTATTTTTTACTATTAATACCGACCGAAATCGGTCGGTATATTCATATTAATTTTAAAAAATTATTTTTGTTATGGGAAAAAAAATAATTGAGCCTGGGCGGGAAATATTAAATCAAAATTTCCGACCGACTTCAGTCGGTATACTTGAATTTTTTTAATTAAATTGTTTTCGGTAGATAATATGCAAAGTCTGATCAGGTTTTGGTCAAATATTGACCAATTTTCGACCGACATCGGTCGAAATTGTTATATGTGTGAGACAAAGCACTGTTTCTTTATTGTGGGACCATTTTTTCCAACCGAAAGTGGTCGGTATTTTTTAGTCAAAATTTTTATTTGACTTTTGCGACCAATTTAGATTTTTTCCGACCGATTTCGGTCGGTATGGTTTGGACGGATTTTGGCAGATTTCTAGTACTCCCTCCGTTCCAATTTATGTGAACATGTTTGACTGGGCACAAAGTTTAAGAAAAAATGAAGACTTTTGGAATTTGTGGTCCTAAACAAGTCAAAAATGGGCCCAGAGTATTTGTGTGGTTATAAAAGCTTAAGGGTAGAATTGTAAGTTTAAGCAAAATTGTTTCCAAATTTAGAAAAGGGTAATTCTTTTTTGAACAGGCCAAAAAGAAAATAGGTTCACATAAACTGGAACGGAGGTAGTAGTGTCTTTTGAATGAACTTTCTTGGTTGAGGGAATGCAGGGGTAATAATTTAAGCCCAAACCCATTTAACCCGCCCAACCCGCCTAAGGTTGGGTCGCTCATTGACCCACCCATTGTTGACCTTAGCCTATCTTGACCCAACTAATCTCAGTCTAGCTAAAGTTGGGCTAATTTTTTAGCCAAATTGATTTATGAACAACTTTGCTAAAACGTCTTTAAAATATATATTTTTTGTTTATTATGTTATATATGACCATAATATAAGAAAATAAGTCTTATTTAGTAATTAAATAATTCATAAGAAAACAAATACATTAATTAAAACTTGGTAGAAGTTGGGCGGGTTGGGTTATAATCCAAATTTTAGTCTATCTTGACCCAGCCCGAATAACTTTTGCGGGGGTTAATGACCCGCCCATTTATTGATTCAACCTATTTTGACCCACCCAAAATTAGCCCAACCCGCCCATTATAACACTCTCAAGAGAAGGTGAGCAGTAGTTTGTCTTTACCTAATTAGTTTGAATCATCAAGTCGCCCATCCATAAGTGTGTGTACATGTTTTAGTTTAAAAGTTTCGCAGCAACAAATGGTAAAAACTCTATATTCTCGATTTAATAATGAGACTATATACTCATGTTGAAGATTCACTGTGCTGTTTGTAGGGGCGATGGCCAACAACTCAAATTGTCCTCATCTCACCTCCTCCAATTGATGAACCTACGCGACTCCTGTAAATCTCTTTCCATATGTTTCCTGATTCTATGACTAATAGTGCACTTTGCTTGAAAGTCTGATGTTTAATTCAAACAAATGTAGATATCCTTTTATTGAGAACAAATTGGGCCTGCCAGAGAGGACGAACGAAGTTGCTGGAAATTATGCCAAAGCAAGTATATCTGTTGCAGCTGAATGTGGGGTTTTGGCTGTGGATTTGTGGACCAGAATGCAGCAAATTCCTGGCTGGCAAACAGCTTGTTTAAGGTATCCCCTGTAGTACAAGAAATTTATGATTTTACTTTGTCATAATTCATTCTCCTTCATTTATATTCTGAACTGTAACAGAGGTTTCATCAATCTTAGTTGTCTGCTTCTGGCCAGAGTAGATAGTACTTGTTAATGCTAACAGGATATTATTCTGATCATCTAAGCTGTTTTCCCAATCATAAAATGAATTTCATTTCAACCTTTGTACCTGTTGAATCTGAAACTGAAGATTTCCAAGCATGTTTACTCATATTTCGATTTACATAAACATGATTACCAGGGAAAATTTTAGGACGCGGTTGCTATTTGACCAGACATTTTTGTAGCTTTTCATATGTTAAAATTCAGTTTAAAAAGCTGAAGTTTTTCGCCAAACAATTGTTGATCGAAAAGTAAATGTGTTTTGCCAAATCAATTTTTTTTGAATATACAATAAACATCCTCATTTAATCCCAGAGGATTCTCTCTTTTTCTAACCCTTCTTGCATAACTATTTATATAAGTCTCACTAGTTCTTCTTTTTATGAAACATCTACATATGTAATTTTTTTTAGGTGGCCTGATAGTATAAAAGTTGTTTAACTGTCAGTGTTTTAATTCCATTATATCTATGTCGCAGCGATGGTTTGCACCTGAGTAAAACAGGGAACGAGATTGTGTTTGAGGAGGTGCTGGAGGCTTTTAAGAAGAAAGGGTTGAGTGTGGAAACTCTACCAGTTGATCTGCCAGTGATTAATGAAATTGATCCAAATGATCCTCTCAAGTCTTTTGAAGGAATATAGCATATATATGTTGAAGCCCCTCTCCTCCGGTCTTTAATATATTTTGGAATAGCTATTTCCTATTTTAGCAAAAATATTTTGTTTATTGACTTAGAGGTATGGATGTACAAGTAATTTCATACCCCGGCTCAAAGCAATATGTGTTTTTCTCGTGTGGGCTACGGAACAACTCATGTTAGTATATTATTGTGGGGCTATAACTCGGCCTGTGTGATCGGTTACTGATAGAATTTGTGTACAGATCTAGTGGAGAACATGATTGCATGCAATTAAGAAGAAAAATCAGTATAGAGAAAGGAGAACGAGAAAGGAGGAAGACGCTTTCATTATTTGTGCAACTGACTCTGTTAATACAGTGTTAGTTATATATAGCTGGTTCACACGAGTCACGTGTGTAGAATAGGTAAAAGGACTAAAATACCCCTGACTAACTAAAATAACTACCACAACTAATATGACCCTACTCTAATACTACCCCTCAAGCTGGAGGGTGGAAGACATTCTAACACTCCAAGCTTGGAAACTAGCGAGTGATGTTGAGCAACAGATAGACCCTTTGTGAGTAAGTCTCCAAGTTGAAGAGCAGTGGTGCAAGCAACCCAGACTTGATTTTCTGTAGCACAAAGTGGAAATCTATTTCTATGTGTTTGGTTCGTTCATGAAATATGGGATTCTCAATTATTTAAATAGCTTCCTTGTTGTCACAGAACAATTGGACATGTTTAGAGATTGATATCCCTAGTTCGTCAAGAAGGCCTGACAACCAAGTTACCTCTGCTGCCATAGCTGCCATGCTTCTATATTCTGCTTCTGTTGAGCTCATACTGATTGTTTGTTGTTTCTTAGATTTCCATGAGATCAGAGAACTCCCCAATTTGACAATATATCCTGTCACAGACCTCCTAGTATTAAGGCAGGCTGCCCAATCTGCATCATAGTATGCAGTCAAGCTATCAATTGGCTTTGCGTGCAGAAGAACTCCAAGACCCGGTGCTCCTTTGATAAACTTGACCACCCTTAAGGCTGCATCCATATGAGATTGCTTTGGACTCTGCATGAACTGGCTCAATGTTTGTACTGCAAAGCTAATGTCGGGTAGTGTGATTGTTAAATACAAGAGCTTCCCAATCAGCTTCTGATATGCAGTGATGTCTCCTAATTCTTGATCTCCTAGCTTTCCTACACGAGCATCATACTCTAATGTGGTAAGCTTTTGATTCAACTCTAGAGGTGTTGAAACAGGCTTAGAACCACTTAGACCTACTCCTGAAATCAACTCAAGTGCATATTTTCTTTGGTTCAGCAGAATCCCTTTTTGTGGTCTAAGGACCTCAATACCAAGAAAGTATCTTAGTTCTCCCAAATATTTCACCTTGAATTGGATTTGTAATGTCTTCTTAGCATCATTGACTAGCTGAGGATTGCTTCCAGTGATCAATAGATCATCTACATAAACTAGTTTGATGACCATACCTCAGCCTTGTTTTTTGCTGAATAGAGAGTGATCAAATGTACTCTGTATGTAGCCATATGTGATCAAGGCATCTGTAAGCTTTATGTTCCATTGTCTTGATGCTTTTTTCAACCCATAGAGTGACTTTAGTAGCCTGCAAACCTTCCTCTCCCCTGTCCATGAAAACCTTATGGTAATGCCATGTATACTTCTTCATATAAGTCACATTGTAAAAAGGCATTGTTGGCATCCATTTGATGTGAACTCCATCCTTTTGCTGCAGCAATACTGATAATAGTTCTAACAGGTATCATTTTTGCCACTGGAGAGAAAGTGTCATGGTAGTCTAGGCCCTCTTTATGGTTGTAACCTTTAGCCACTAATCTAGCCTTAAACCTTTCTACTTCTCCATTTGCTTTATGTTTTATCTTACAGGCCCATTTTGATCCAATGGCATGTTTCCTTGGTAGGAGATCAACCAACTTCCATGTGTTGTTTTCCTCTAGTGCACGTATCTCTTGCTGCATTGCCTCAACCCACCTGCTATCTTGAGCAGCTTCCTTAAATGAACCAGGTTCAATGTATGCTTAGAAGGCCTTCAAATAAGACTGATATCCTACAGTGAGGTTTGCATATGACAATCCTTGCAAGATTGAATATAGACTGTTGCCTGTAAATTTCCCTTTTGTCACATAATTCTTTAGCCATATAGGTGGTCTAGAGGGTTTTGTTGACTTCCTCACATCAATCACTGCATCTCCTTCAGGTGAAATTCCTCCCACTTCTTCAACTGCATCTGAAGCTAAAGGATCTGGATTAATGCTGTAGAAATCTGCCTCTTCCTAATTCTGTGATGATAAGTGATCAACACGGTATGCATGTAATTCTTCATGTGGCTGATTTTGTGATTCTGTTTGTGTGATGGGAGATGTACTTTCAACTGGTGTAGGGATATTACGAGAACTGGGTTGAGAGGTGTTAGGATTAGAAGGTATCTCAATAGGCATCAGCTCGGGAGGGTCTTGTGGGAATATGTCATCTAGGTCTGAAGTCATTCCTTTGAAAGGAAATGCTTGTTCTCTGAATGTGACATCTCTGCTCACTAGAAATGTCCTGCTCTCCAAATCATACAACTTGTAGCCTTTTTGAGTCTCTGAGCCTTTTTGAGTCTTTGAGCCTTTTTGGGAATATGCCATCTAGGTCCTAGCTCTTGGAGCAAATTTGTCTCCTTTTGGTAGGGTGCTTGCAAAACATAAACAACCAAATACCTTCAGATGCTCAATCTTAGCTGGTTTCTTATAAAAAAACTCCATAGGGTGATTGCCTGATAGAACAGAAGTTGGCCACTTGTTTATCAAGTAAACTGTTGGTTTTACACAGTCTCCCCAGAATCTGTTTGGCAAGGAGCTTTGAAACTTCAAGGCTCTAGCTACTTCCAGTATATGCCTGTGTTTTCTTTTCACCACCTCATTTTGTTGGAGTTTGTATGGACAACTATTTTGATGCACAATTCCTAATGAAGTCAATAACTTATTACATTTTGAATTGAAGAACTCAGTTCTATCATCTGATCTCAATTTTTTGACATTCAAACCAAATTGATTATGCACAATGGTAAAGAAATCCTTCAATACAACAAGTACTTCACACTTGGACTGTAAAGAACATAACCAAGTATATTTGCTAAAATCATCCACCACAGTTACAAAGTAGTATTTTCTGTCATATGTTGGTATCCTGTGAGGACCCCAAACATCTACATGCACAACTTGAAAAATCTGATCCGTTCTACTAATACTAGGCCGGAAAGGTAGTCTATTTTGCTTTGCTAAAGGACATATTTCATAGCCATGTTGTAACTTGGTGTCCACCTTATTCTTTAATAGAGGAATATGCTGCATTGCAACAATTGAATGATGACCTAATCTTATATGCCAAAGTGATGAATCTTCCTGCATTTGCACAACACTTTCTGCTATAGCTGTGAATTCCTTATTGAGCTCCTTCTTCAGCAGATACAAACCATTGTGTTCTTTACCAATCCCCAGTACCTTCCCACTGTAAAGATCCTGAAATACACAGAAATTAGGGAAGAATGCAGTACAACATGATAACTCCTTAGTCAGTTTAGAAACCGACATTAAATTAAATTTAAAGTCAGGAACATGCAATACATCTCTTAGTGTCAAATCCTCTAATATCTTCACATCTCCTATATGTGCTACATGACATTTACCTCCTGTAGGCACTTGTACACCATTATTATTTTGGTTTTCAATCTTTCGCACATTATCTAATACATCTTTATAAGGTGTAACATGATGTGAGGCACATGTATGTATTATCCAATCATAGTTAAATGTCTTGGACAACAATGAAGTTATACTTGCCATTAGAGTATGACAGTCACCTGGATCAGGATCTGGTTTGTTCAAGAGTCCCATTAGAGTATGACAGTCACCTGGATCAGGATCTGGTTTGTTCAAGAGTCCCATTAGAGTATGACAGTCACCTGGATCAGGATCTGGTTTGTTCAAGAGTCCCAACAGTTGTTTGTATTGATCTTCTGTGAAGTAATGCCATTAGAGTATGACAGTCACCTGGATCAGGATCTGGTTTGTTCAAGAGTCCCAACAGTTATTTGTATTGATCTTCTGTGAAGTAATGCCCATGTGTCTGAGTAGTAGTGTTAGAACTCCCTCCTTCTCCAGCTGATACATTAGCATACCCCTTTACACCAGAGTTCTGAGGTTTTTTCTTGCTTTTAAAATCTGATGGATAGCCTATAATCTTGTAACAGTTCTCCTTCAAATGACCTTTGTAACCACAGTAATCACATATGAGACCTGGTTTCCTTGTTGCCTTGAAACCTTGTCCTCTTCCAGCTAGCATAGTTAAAGGCTCCTTGTCTGAATTAGCTACACTAAGTGTTCTTTGACTCTCTTCCTGAACTACTAATGCATATGCTTGATTCATAGTTAACACAAGTGTTTTAAGTAGAATCTGACTTCTCACATGACTATAGCTTTCATTTAAACCAACAAGGAATGGCAACAAGCGCAAGTTTTTAAACTAATCTAGAAAAGGCCTAGTTTCCTGACAATCACATCCTGCTCCTGGCACCATTAAATCCATTTCATCCCACAAATCCTTCATTTTAGTATAATAGGATGTTATAGAGTCTGTACCTTGCCTTAGAGTTCCTATTGTCGTCCATAAGTGATAAAACCTAGTAAGGTTTGATTTGTTAAAACGTTCCTTAAATTCATTCCATACCTTTCTTGCATCTGAAGCGTAGATGATACTTGGCTTCAATTCAGTAGATACAGTGCGACCTATCCACGAAAGCACCACAGCGTTACATCGTTCCCATTTATGCCCTAATTCTCCTCTGTAAGAGCTTTTTAGACAGGTTCCATCTATGAACCCTAGCTTGTTTTTCACCAATAATGCCATTCTCATCGATCTGCTCCATAGCGCATAGTTTTCAGGTCCAGTAAGCTTGATATCTATCAACGCTATTCCATGAGTATCAGTTTGTTGTAAAAACAGTGGGTGATTGTGATCAATTTGCATATTTCCAGTTTTCGCCATGACAGTCCAGCTTAAGCTTCGAAAATGGCCGTCAATTGAAATTTTGAAATCTTCGATCCAATCTCAAATCGCCTGCTCTTATACCATGATAGAATCTGTGTACAGATCTAGCGGAGAACACGATTGCATGCAATTAAGAAGAATAATCAGTATAGAGAGAAGAGAACGAGAGAGGAGGAAGAAGCTTTCATTATTTGTGCAACTGACTCTGTTAATACAGAGTGTTAGTTATATACAGATGGTTCACATGAGTCACGTGTGTAGAATAGGTAAAAGGACTAAAATACCCCTGACTAACTAACATAACTATCACAACTAATATGACCCTACTCTAATAGTTACATGTGGTTGAACATTTATTTATAACTACAAGCACAGGCTATAGATTGATATGCAGTAACCAATATGCATCAAACGTATAATTTTCTTACACATTAAATTAAAGAATTGTGGAGGCTCTTCCTAAGAGATCTTTTGGATAAGTAATATACATATTGATAGTTGCGTCAAAAGCATAGTAGTAGCAAGGATTCTCCAAAAAAGGAAATCATAGTGGGCCTAAATTGACTCGCGAGCCTTAGGACCAATTGCCTATTGGGCTTGTGGGCCTTCTAGGGCATGAGGCTTCAAAAGAAATACTCCTAAACACACGAACAAAACTAATTGTATTTGCTAAGCCAAAAAATATACATTTCTCAAATAACCTAACATTTGTACTTTATGGCACTTCGCCATTAATAATTATCATGTGACCATCACATGCCTAACAGTATGGGTAACAAGGTACCTTAATTTCCTTTCAAGAAAAAAAATCTTTTTTCTTCTTAAATTTTTTTTTTTTTGGATAGTTAATAAGCGATGTTAGCTATCCATTCCAAACTCAAACGTACTTACTAATATTTTTCTTTGACCATGATTTTATTTTAAAATATTGTGATATCTAGCAATTTTATACATGCAGTTTCTAATAAATGATGTCCTAATTCACATAGAAATCAGATACATTGACCCACTGAGGATGCTAATTGTTTCATTCTTCTTGAAACAGAGGAAACAATGCACAAGAGCGCAACAATGTAAAAATTATTTAGACAATTTCCAAGTCTATAAGGAATTAACAGTACAAGGATTTAGCATGAATAAATAAGAGAATGGAAGCAGACAAGGAAAGTTCAACTAATTGTGATTTCATTTTTGTATGAATTAGGTATACAAATACACATAATAGGAGATATCTTTGTAGTATAAGTGTACTAGTATTAGTACCCGTGCGATGTACAGACACAAATATCAAGTTATAATTTGGGTTATTTGAATTATATGCAAATTATCTTAATATTTAAACCTTCCGGATAAAATTTACGGATAATTATTAGATACCAATTAAGAAGCATGAAATGAAAATGTTTCTCATATCTCGTAGT